TATCGTATCATTCATGTATGTAGAACTGTGATATTCAGTATGCTGGCAACCACAAATAAATAACATTTGCAATAAAATTAACAGTGCTTATTTTGCAATCATAGCATTAAAGCCTAACATCAATCAAAACTCGCTTTTAGATACGTATTACGCGCTTGTCTATCCTCACCTCATTAAAAATATAATCATATGGCGACAGGCAACAATGATTAAGAGATTATTCATTCTGCAGAAAATAGTACTCCGATTAATTTTTAATATTGTTAAGAGGGACTCCTGTAAAGAAACCTTTAGACGCTATAATCTGCTTACATTAACTTCCATATACATATAGTAATGGACAACAGTATATTGACAAATATGAATATTTACCTAAATACCTAGAAAACGAATTCATACTTCATTGCTCCATAAACAAACGCGTTATTAGTAGAAAAGCTAAATTTCTTGTTTTTACATTATCTGCAATGAACACAATAAAGTCTGAATATAAGCACTTTTTTATGAGGGACTAAAATATGTAGACAAATTCTGTTCAACATTAGTTTAGTACAGTTTCGTGTCAGAAGAGGATTAGTTTGTGTTCATCAAGTATTGTGGAATAAGTTGAGTGATTTTAAGATCATGCCGCGTGGTCCAGAAATTTCTTTCGATGTGAAAACTAAGATCACTGAGTTATACAAAGATGGTCAACGTCAAGTCGAGATTGCCAAAAATTTGAAGCTGAAGCGTAAAGCGCTTTGGGCAATATTGAACAAATATAAACAAGAAGGTATCTTGGAAGCTTCTAAGAGAAGTGGTCGGCCTCGAAAACTAAATGCTAGATCAGTTAGATTAATAAAAATAATTTCGTCCAAAGATCCGTTTAAAACCCCAAGACAAATAAAAGCAGAAATCGAGACAAAATTGTCAGTGTTTCTACGAAGACTATAAGCAGAAGATTAAATGATTTGAAGTTATTTGCACGTCGCCCGAGTAAGAAGCCGCTAATCTTGAGGAAAAACCGTAAGGACCGATTACAATTTGCACGGTTGCATCTTGTTTGTAGCATCTGTGACTGGAAGAGTGTATGTTTCAGTGACGAATCCAAGTTCAATATGTTTGGATCAGATGGTGTTCATCACGTTAGACGTCCTAGTGGACAAAGATTGAACCCCAAGTACTCTTTGCCCACTGTCAAACATGGATGCGGGTCTGCTATGATTTGGGGGGGTGCTTTTCGGGGTTTGGGATGGGACCTTTACTAGAATAGATGGCATTATGTATAAGTTTGTATACGCAGACATACTAAAGCATGTCATGTTACCCTATATGGAAGACAATACGCCCTTAAGATCAATCTTCGAGCAAGATAATGACCCGAAGCACACTTCAAATCTCGCAAAGAAATTCTTTCTGGATGAAACAATACCAGTTCTCAAATGGCCTTCACAGTCTCCCGATATAAACCCCATTAAAAATCTAGGGGAATACTTAGATAAGCAAATACGAGATAAAAATTATTCAACCAAGGATGCTTTTTGCCGCTTTAAAGCAAAAGTGGAGACAGATTGATGAATCTTACTATATATCAAGAAACTTCTACAATCTATGCCGAGATGATGCCAGGCGGTGATTGATAATAATGGTTATGCTACAAAATATTAACACAAACATGGTTGGTTTTCTATAATTAAATAAACTTTGCTTCTTTTTTCTATAATTGTTTTGCTTTGTCCATATATTTTTGTCCTTCATAGTTCCAGCTTTTTTCAATTAATTTTGTATTGAAGGGAGTCTAATGAATTTATTTATGTATAAGTGAGTATTATGTCATAACGAATTATGTATACAGGTTGGTGTATTAATAGAACAACAAAAAAGAAATACAGCACAATATTAATTTGTCTATATACTTTTGTCGATTACTATATATCTACAAGTGCCCCAACTTTGCATTTGAATACAATTTGTTTGTAACAACGCAATAAATAGTCAATATAATATTAGAACAGGGCATGATCTGAGTATACCGTTACATAACTCGCTCTATTCAAAAAATCTGTTATACCAGCTTGCACTAAGATATATAATAATTTGCCGAGTAAGTTGCGGAGAAGTACATACTAATATCTTTGCACTGAAAAAACATCTCATTAAATATCTTGTTGAAAAATGCTTTTAATCTCTAAATGAGTTCTTTCAGTGTTTGTCAATTCTCTTAAGCTGTTAATTATCTCCTTACCGTTTTATGTGCACTATAGTGCAGTACATGTATTTTAATTTCAGTTTTATTCAAGTTTTAATCTAAGTATAGATGTTTTTCATTCTGTTATATTGATTGTCTTCCGGGTTAGATATCGACTGCATTCACATATACATCACCAATTTGGACGTTTGTTATATATGTGCAATGGTGTCTTTTTGAGCTTTCAACCATTATTTGTCCTCATTGCTTAGTGTTTATTGTATTTTTATGTGCAACTAATAGATTGTCCTACTCTTTTTGTATATAAATATTTTAATGACGTTTATCCGCTAGATGAACATTTCTTATGATAAACTCGCCGATACTGATTGATCACTTTTAGATTATGGCGCTGTAACAATATGTGCTTTAACTTGTTTAAATGATAAATACTTTTCTGTAGTTGCTGATGTTTTTATTCATTTTATATTTAAATTTGCTGGATATATAATAATTATTCGTATATATCTTATATATGAATAAGCATTTTTTTCGCAGGAATATGGGATACTTGTTGTCACGTTATGTTTCCGTAAAATGGGTCGAGTATTCCGAGTACAAACCGAGTGCTGGGTGCATACCTAACTAATGCGTTACTTTAGGATTTAAACCCTTAAACACTATAGATTGATAAGAAATACTAACGTGCTCAATGCATGTTATACGTGAAGACAGTGTTATTCCAAATCAAATTAGAAACTGCTTGTTATCTAATATTTGTTGAATTTAGTTGTCCATATGAAAGACTTCTACTAGCTTATGAACACCGATTGCACTTATTGTCACGCCCCTGCTTAGTTATATTTGAAACTTCGTTATACAACAATATTGGCCACGTGCTCCTTGATTATGGTATTTCCATCCACTTATCTGTGGATGACAAAACCAAACATTCGAACAACGGCTGGTCTGGCCGCCTTGATTACAGCAAACAACTCGAGTGACATTTCCACTTGCGTCCGACCCAATCTAAAAAACACCTTACACAGCCTACTCGGTATCCGGTTACCTATGGATTACCTACAGCCTTTTGTTTCGGCCGTTTTATGCATCGGCGAACACGTTGATTGATATTTTTATTTGAAATCCTTTCGAACGGCTTCGTTTGTTTTTTTTTCTGCCGTTTGTTTGGCTACCGCTTCAAAAAATAAAAAAAAATAGTATCTTTTACTACAATTGGGACGACTTTATTAATGCATTGCATGTATGGTATTGGTACTACAGATTATTATTGCAAGGGGTTAACTTGCCAAAGCGCTACTGTGACCCATGCGCATCTATTGTGGACCCACTGTCTATATGCCTCCAGGGCTTCTGCTTGAGAAGGGAAACATATCTAATAGGGAACCCGAGTGGCGTGTATCCTTTTATTTTGGTTGAGATGTGCCGTCTCCCCCCTCAGACGCATAAAGAATCAAATATTTTTTAATATATCCGGTATTACAGAAAGGGCTTGTGAACGTAAGCGATACTGCGACCCACGTGAATTTATTGTGGACCCCGGTACACACTTTCTAAAGCATTGTCTTTAAATCAGATTCCATACCCTTGACACAGTGCTTTGCATGTAGCTATCCGCTGTTTTGTGATTCCGGATAGTTGAAGTTTTAGCCTTGCTAGGCCTTCCCAGTGAGACAAGAAATGCACTGCAGTGTTCGGATATGCTCTCTGTAGAAGTGCCACGCGCCATATTCTGCTGCTCTATAGACTTTACGACTTTCTTATTCGTTGATGAAATCTTTTGCCTGCCGGCACATCGTTCTGGATTAATTACTTCACTAACATAACTTGTTTATGAGCGATACAAGTTTGCTGTCGAGATTTAGATTATTTAAATAAATAACACTAATGAATTTATGCATGTCCTTGTGCCTTAGATATTCCAACATTATTTCCATATTTGGGACAGGTGTCGACATGACATGACGTAACTGTGTCGGGTAGGCGGCTATCGCTGTAAGGTCTAACATCGTGGATACTTATGGAGTATATCAAGAGATAAAGAGAGATAAAAGCCGATAAAAGTTATTAATCCATATATTTACCGAAAGCTCGATGTACTTGAAAAGTGTATTACGGTGTTGAATAATGAAACCCTATTTACATACTGGAAATCCAGTGAATTTTTTACACAATGAAAATGTAGTTTGGCAAATAGCCTAGATGTTGAGATCAGTGGCGTAACTTGTTCCTCAGGGGCTCCCATTAATTTGGACCCCCCAACTGTGGCGAATCCCAAATGGAGGAAATTTGCAGTATCGATTATAACAAAAGAAACATATATGTTCATATGAACTTTTCTACTTCGACTTGGTTATGAATGCGTCTTCGTCTGGGTCTTAATAAAAGAGATTGCATTTATCATATCATACCAAGAAGATGAGAATCAGGGGACAAGTCACGAACATAATTTTCCAAAAAGTGTTCTTGAAAAAAGTGTGTACTTTAGTTTTCGTTTTCAAACAATTTTTGCTACAGTTATTTTATCATTATAACCGTAACTACAAACACTTATCAATCTATAGGACTCCGTTGCCTGGCAGGGTCAAACCACGTACATCTTTTAATTCCTCTTTATTGTACAACGGTTCAGCCACCACGGTGGCTTTTTTCAAGTATACACACCGTGGTGGCAAAAACCTCGCACAGGTATAATAAAGAGAAATCAAAACATATATGTTGCTTGATTCGATCAGACAGTGGATTCCTATTAACATGAAAACCACAGGATAAGTTTACATTATTTAATCAATTTCCTGCACTTCTTTTCTAGAACAACTATGCTTCCTACCAATCCGACCAGGCAGTAGCTCAGGCGCAAGAAGAGGAAAATGACAAGCCTGACGTGCCTAGAGCGGTCAAGAAATGGCCTGTTCAAGATCTCCATCTGGGACAGGTGTCCGGAGTTTCGGTCAACTCCGCTTTGCAGCCTGTAGTCTTCCACAGGGCCGACAGGGTTTGGGACAGAGAGTAAGTTGAAGAAGGACATACAGTATTGCAATCGAGAAAAAATGTTTTCGGATGTTATGAAATGCACATCATGAAAAACCGTGTCACTCATTTCCGTCGGTCGGTCTGTTTGTCTGTCTATCCGTCCGCTAATCCTTGGGCTGTGTATAACTTAGAAGTACCGCTCGGAATTGGATGAAATCTTCAGACAAGGTTACTGCTATGCCAAGGGCGAAAAAGCTTTGTAGTTTTTGAAAATCGGTATCCGCGGAGAAAAAGACCAATAACGAAAAAAAAATCTTTTTTGGACGTTTCAGTTGCTCCTGATTATCACCAAACATTTTTTTATAGCGGTCCGGCTGATGATCGTGCTTCGGGCGTTGCACTTGGCGGTCACTTCCGTGCTGCGATGGGCTGTATGCCGTAAAAGGCAATAATGTCATCCACGCGGGATTAGTCATAGCAACGATCATGTGCGCCTGCAGAAATTTTTCACTGGGAGGAAGAAGGTTGTGAAAAATGTTTGTCGCTAACTTTTTTCCTTATTGTGACAATTGATTTCAACAGGGTGGGAAACTTCTAGGGGGACGCACTTCTCACGATTCAGCTCTAGCAAGGTGATTTTTGTACAAAGATATAATATATCGTCGTTGTTTTGATGTAACCTCCTAGGTAACAATTTTTTCAAATCGGAGCTTCCTGAACATCTGTATAGTCAAATATGAGCTCCGTGATATGATGTACAAAAGTTTCACAATAATAATCTCTTGTAATTCTGTCGAGATTTATCCGACCGATGTGAATGGAAGCGAAACCATTTTTTTTTTAATTTAAAAGAGTTCTTATGTCATTCTGTAAAAACTGCTTTTAAGCACATATGAGTTTTCCTCAAAACAACGCCGATATACCATTTTCTGAAAAAAAAATGTCAGACTTGGGTGTCTAGAGTGGCGAAGCTACCAAATTCGATCGGTTCTCGGCCAACAACAGCTTTACCTGTCTAGTAGAGAAATATTTCTAGAGATCTATCTATATATCCATATAATCTATTTTTTATAAATAATCTCCTTGTTCCAGTACATTCAATGAGTCCAACCACTACCAGTTTGCCCATTTAGGACCCATCAAAGAACACACTGTCCTCACCTTGGATCCTTTAACTGGCAAAGTTTTGGGAAAATGGGGAGCAGACCTGTTTTACATGCCTCACGGTTTGACCGTTGATAGGCATGACAACCTATGGGTGACTGATGTAGCCCTTCACCAGGCCTTCAAGGTAACACTATTTATTGAATAGAATAGTTAGGTTCGTTTTACACTCACCTCACTTCAGTTCACTCATGTTCGTTTTCCTGTACGCTTTCCGTCTCTGCGTATCCAATATTGTTTTTTGTATATTTTTAGCAATCATCAGTACTGTTAAAGTCTCGTCATTTGGAGACGGAAAGCAAACAAGCGAATATGAGTTTACTGAGAAACTCAATGTTGTGATATGCGAAAAATAAAGGTAACTTTGCCATCTATGAAAAGTTCTGCAAATCACGATACTACCGTGTATAACAGCAAGAAAAAACAGTTTCCGGGCCAAGCCAAACAAGGACATCCATCGTCGCTCTTAGCAACCCTGTGAAGAGTTTCCATGATATACAGGGCATCCCAAACATGCAAGAAAGGAGTATCGCCCCTAAACAAAAACGCATCAGAGTAAACTACTCAAAATCCAATGTGTCGTGTGCTTAATTCTAGCAAAATATTATTTTGGATTTAGGTTTACAGTTGTTTTGTTTTTTTAGTTCAAGCCCGGAGAACTGCAGCCCACCCTAACATTCGGGCACAGGTTCCAACCGGGCTCTGATCCCAAACACCTGTGCATGCCTACATCAGTGGCGGTCGCGACAACTGGAGAGATCTTCATTGCTGACGGTTACTGTAACAGCAGGATTTTGAAGTACAATGCTGCTGGAGGGTTGCTGAGAGTTATTCCTAGTCCTCCAGGTACAAGCCCACAAACATTTTTTTTTTAGTTTCCCCTGGCTGGCAAGATGTGTATAAATTATCTCACTTTATGCGATAGGTAAAATTCCTGACAGGAATCATTTCTTTTTTGATGTTCATAGTTCTGCGGTTATACATGCTATGTGGCTTTTTAAAATACCGGATTCAGCTTGAGCAATAAAAGGATAGGTTCTGGAATGTCATAGAGAAGAGAAGATGACTTCAAAATTACTACACACTATTACTGCAGTACTTCTATACGTGTGCGTTTAAAAAAATCGTGATAGCTGAGTCTATTTTAATAATTTGGTAGTATACCTATAAGCCTTAGGCCTCTCCCGGTTTAAAATTCTCAGACATCGTCTAAATTACTCGTAGATTTAACCATGACTGAAGTAATTAAAAGAACTGAGAACCAAACAGTCATCAAAGATCAGTAGGGGAGACCGGGGATGGTTGACTATAGGGGTAGGTAGACTAACCGCCAAAAACTCGTCAACGATATGAGTATTACGTCATCCCGGCCCAGCCGCGCATTACTCTCCGACCCCCGCTCAGTGGTGTTGATTATCGTTACTTTCAAGTACTCGTTACTAATCGTTACTCTTCTACAAAGTAATAATTTATTGCATTCGTTACTTTGATTACTATGAGTAGTATGAAAGTAACGTCTGTATGAGTAACGATTTGGCAACGTGCGCCGTGTAATTAATGTCGTATTTGAACAAGTTCAATGGAATCGAATCTTGTAAGAAAATAGACAACCTTAAAATTTGCAAAATGTTAGAAGCATGCTTTATTTGAAACTATCGTGTTTAATGCAAACATTGTATCTTCAAACTGCACGCTTATCGGCATGGGCTATTATAGGATGGAGTGTCATAAGACTGCAACATCAAAAATATCTGAATACCGTCCTGTAGCCGCGACATCCCTCAGTGGTACTAGGACACTAGCTCAACCCGACGACAGAACTGGGTCGGGGTCAGTGTGTCAGGTCAGTATGCAACCTTCAACCGACGGTTACGGTCACGCGTGTAGAGATAATCGCGTAGACGTGAATCCCTCAAGAAGCACTAGAGACGTGGCTAGAGAAGTGCAAGTATCAAAAACTAAAGTGTCGCAAACGCTGCGTGAAGAGGGGCTGTATCTGTTTCACGTCCAACGAGTACAAGCCCTTCAACCTGACTATTTTCCAGCAAGAGTGCGGTTTTGTGAGTGGTTGTTGCATCAACATGACAATAATCCGGACTTTTTGAAGTGCATATTGGTGACAGACGAATCTACGTTCACGCGTAATGGGGTGAATAACTTTCGCAACACTCATGTTTGGTCAGTAGAAAATCCGCACGCTGTCCGTCGGGCACATTTTCAACAAACATTTTCGGTGAATGTTTGGGCTGGCCTGGTGAACGGTATGCTCATTGGACCATTTATTCTCCCAAATCGATTGGACGGGATGCAATACCCAGACTTTTTACGCAACATTTTGCCTTCCTTGTTTGCCTGCATCTGCTCGGTAGCGCATCAGCTGATTTCATTTTCTGTTGGAGCGGTATGATTTCGGGCAGAGACGTACTTAGCCCTTCTCGTCAACTGGAGAGTGAGTACTTTTTCCTTTATTTTTTTTACTTGGTCGCCCTCGTTTCACTACACATTACCTTTGTTATTTCAAGGGTAGTTGTTTCTGAAAAGGAAAACCCCAACTTTGCGGACACCCCGGAAAAACTAAATCTTTTAGATATGAAAAACAAAAGAGAAACATATAAGAATAAAAAAGCAGATACGAAGGACAAAATAGAAAAAGGAAAAGGGAAGGGCAAAGGAAAAGGAAAGGGTAAAGGGAAAGGAACGGATAAAGTTGATGAGATTGCTGAAGACACCGTGGATGAAAATGACGGTAGTTGATAGTTTTGTTAAATACTTATTGTAAGATAATGTCTGTAACTGATTAAAATTGTTTTTGAATAAAAAGTTTTGTTAAATTATGAAAAAAGTTTCATAACTTGACTCTTCTCATAGTTTCTCACTTATTGATACGTAAGTCTACTTACCTCGGGCATATAGTCAATCTACCCCGGAGTCGGGGTAAATTGACTAAGAATTGGTGTTCTGTAAAATTATGATCGTTATATTGAATAATGGACTAGTTTATATGCTTTTTCATAAGTTCAATAGTTCTTTTATCCATTGATGCAGTTTTATTGTCTGTATGTATAAAAGCACAAAAAATATGTATGATGTAAAAAACTAGTCAACCATCCCCGGTCTCCCCTAATGGGGAGGGGGCAACTAAAAGAATCCGTAACCTCAAGGTGTAGAACAGGGTTATTTCGTAAATATATTGACTTATTTTTTCCCAATCTATGTTGTAAATTTAGAAGGAATTTTTATTGATCACTAATAAGATCATGTTTTCTTACCAATATGCCCAAAAAATAACCAAACATTGATTGTGAGCATATTTTAGGTTAATGTTAGGTAAGCTATAACCTCTGGGAGTTGTCTTCGAGGTCAACGATTCTTTAAGTAATTCTTGGAGATGTGTTTTTTGTAGTTTTGAACCACCCAATTTAACCTCTTGGTCAAATCTCTATTAGGGCCCTAATTTGGTACGTAGTTACCAGTTTTTGACAAAGGATTCAACTGTCAAGACAATTCAATTTTGGCAAATATAAATAACCTTTTCTTGGGGTAGCCCATTTTAACAAAAAAAACGTACGAAAGAATGGTTGATTTGCAACATAATTGACTGCGGTGAAAAACTGAGCATATGTTGCTTTATAGAAGGGAAGGTAAAAGAGAACTTCCGAAGATACCGGGTGATACTAAATTTTGTTAGAAAGAAATGCATAATGCAAGACGAATGTACACGAGTCAGAAGACCACACGATGAAAGATAAAAGTTTTCTGTTGAACGTCACGTGCATCATACTGTAAAAATTGTCATTGGCGGAGGTATGACGGCACAGGTAATACTGGAATCTCAATAACGCTCAAGTCAGACTCCTTTTTTGGTGTCGTATAGATCTATAGACCAACACAACATGTGCAGGATATGATAGAAAGAACAATGATCTCTTTATCTCGTACTCCACAAACACCGGCAGCTCTTCGGAAAAAAGTAAAGCTAGCTATCTAACTGTATATAAAATTTCATTCTAATCGATTCATTTCTGCTGGGTGTTCATGTTTATTGTCACTTAGTATATTTTCGAGAAACATAACATGAACTATCAAAGACGGGCAAGTTCCAAATCATTTTTATGCCCATGTTTATATGAACCTTTTTCATATTATATCAACGAGTTAATATGCATGAATACAAAATGAAATGACTATTTCCCTTAAAGTTACACTTTGTAAAATGTTCTTTTCCTTTAGTTTTCTCTTTTCCATTGTTTCCTTCTGGTTACTGGCTTACGCCCCACGATGGGGCAATAAGAGTTTAGTTTAATTCCGTAATATTCTCTACCTAAGGTTCCGGCCATAAGTGAATAGCACTAAACCTCTGCTGTCACAAACTATGATGTTTCACAACATTAAAATAATGCATTTGATTTCCAGAATTTCTGTCTCTTCAAATACCGCATGCGTTGGCTCTAATGGAATCTATGGACAGACTGTGCGTGGCAGATAGGGAGAACCGCAGGGTGACCTGTCCTAGGGCAGGGTTATACAGTATCCAGGGTAAAAAGGAGCCAGCCCTCACCATTCAACAGCCAGATATGGGACGCGTATTTGGTGTAGCAGCCAAAGGTACAAGCACTTTTATTTTCTTGGTAACTTGTGTATTACTTCCTTTGCCACTGTCGGAAAGTATGGTAATCGCGAAAATTTCAAAAATGAATTATGTTTTTGGGATGTTATATGTCATGAACATCACGAAAAACCATGTGTAAGTTGGAAAGTACTGCTTGTATTTTGACAGAATTGACTGCGTGACTCTGTTTCAGTCATATCGGTCATCGGGCTTACCCATAGTCATCCTTACAGCAACGTTTCTGTTGCTTGTCAAATTGCTGGCAACGAATTTATTGCCTATTTGACTGACTCGATTCACTTAATTCATTTGTTATTACATGTTAGTAGTTGACAGTAGTTGAAAGGCTCTAATTTATGCCTAACATAATTCTTTATGATTCGACGATAACGTTGCGTTCAGAGACAACCAACTTGATGTCATTTTTTTGTCTACATTTAGTATAAATTTTGCTATCGGACTTCAGCAGTTTCAGTAGATAAGGGGTTGAGACCTTTATAATATAGCTCAGGACCGTATAAGGATGAAGTATTAATTTGTTGTCGTATCTGTTCTCCTAGTTGGCCCAACAATCTTTAACATCTTCCAAAAGATATACAGAAAATCAAAGTCACTTTAAGTATAGTTCGAACGGTTTTTTAATATACTAAGTGACATATAAATCCGAACACCCAGTTTAAATAGTTTTATTTTAATAAAAGTTGGTGAATGTATTTATCTTACTGTAAATAACAAGTGAAAAAATTTTCAGCCTTATCAGTTGGACATTCCGGTTTTCATACTGCTTTTTATTAATTCACTAACGCTCTAAAAATGAATATTTCAGCCGCAGTAAAGAATCAACGTTGGCGGATTTTGGTTCTTGACATCCTTTACGATCGGTTACGATGCCTAGAGTACGGAGACCTGTACGATTTCGTCAACTTAGTGAGTTTGATAGGGGCCGTATAGTTGGACTTCGGGAAGCTGGACTTTCTTTTCGGGCAATTGCAGTTAGAGTGCAAAGAAGTGTAGACACTGTGGTTGGGTGTTGTCAGGCATGGCTTCGAGAAGGCCGTACGCAAAGAGCAAGGGGCGCTGGACGCCGCCGTAGAACAACAGACCGTGAAGATCGTCGCCTAAGATTATTAACCTTAAGGGACCGTTTCTCCACTACCAGGTCCATTGCAAATGAATGGTTTGCAGAACACGGAAGACCTATTGGCATGCGAAGTGTTTACCGACGAATGAGAAGTTTTGGCTTGTTTTCATACCGGCCACACTGGGTCCTACCTTTAACTCGAGAACACCGACGTACTAGCCTTGAGTGGTGCAGACAACGGTCACTCTGGGATCAGGAATGGAACAGTATTGTCTTTAGTGACGAGTCTCGATTTTGTTTAGGCATGCACGATGGTCGTGCCAGGGTTAGAAGGCGACGTGGTGAAAGGAGGAATCCACAGTTTTTTGTTGAAAGACATGTTCATCACACTGTTGGAGTTATGGTTTGGGGTGCTATAGCTTATGGTTCCAGGTCACCTTTAATCTTCATCAGAGGTAACATGAACGCGCTATCCACAATAGACTTCTTTCAACATAATGATGTCAAATTGTTAACATGGCCACCAAGATCTCCCGACTTATCCCCAATTGAGCACGTGCGGGATATGATGGGTAGGAGATTGCTCAATTTGCAACGTCCTCCGCAGACTCTAGAAGCACTTCGAGAGGAGTTGGTGGTTGCCTGGAATGAGATACCACAGGAGGACATTGACCACCTGATCAGAAGCATGCCTAGGCGCGTTGGAGAATGCGTAGCACATCAGGGTGCATCCACACATTATTAAAGGTCAAAAGGCTTTAAAGCAGTGCAATCATTTTGAAATTTTTATCATTTACTTATTATGCTTCATTAAGTACTTATACAAAATTTTATTAAAATAAAACCATTTAAACTGGGTGTTCTGATTTATATGTCACTTAGTATATTTGTGGCATGTTATACACGATATTTGAGGGCACATTTCTAAAATATTGGCAATTATACAGGGTGTCCCAATTTTGACCAAAGATGTTATTTTTTAAATGGAATGCCTCAAATTATATTGCATATTTGAATAAACAAATTCAAAAGAAGAAGATTGATATAACATACGATGGGGTTTTGGTAATTAGCTACTGAGATGTAAGGTGCTTTGTCCAGAAAAACTGTCCACTTCGGCAACCCCTCAATCCGTCATTTTGAAATTTGGTGTGCTGAATTTTTTATCAAAAAAAAACTGACACATTTCAGCTTTTATCTCATTTGTTACTTTTTCGAATTTTCATTTTTGCTCATACCGGGTGGTCAAAAAACGCGAATTGTACTTCATCCATGGAAACAAAAGACAAACAGTGGGCTAGTTCCATATTGTCGCTAAAAGTACAGATTTGACGTAAAAACTAATAACAATCAGAACAGTATAAATCAGCTTCAAGCGTAATAGAGAAAAACAACTATAACAACAACATAAACAAACAACTATCACTATTCAAGACCTAATCAACAAAAACTGCTCGATAATATCTCCACCATGTTGAAATCACAGCTGTAGTCTTTGGATAAATGGCCGTTGCAATCCCTCAGCATGTGTTTCATTATGTTCAGAAAAGCATCCTTGATCATTTCCTCATAACCTCTTGCTTAACGTAGCCCCATAGAAAGAAGTCAATTGGTGTCATATCTGGTGGAGGCCAAGATATATGCCCATCACGACCGATCCAACGATTGTTACTCCAGGTGTCCAAATAGTTACGCACGCAATGATGACTGTGCGCAGGTGCGCCGTCATATTGGAAGTACATATGCATCCGAATTTGCAGGTTGCCCTCCTCCAACAGCAAAGACAAACGCTCGATCAAAAAATTCAAGTATTCTGTACCTGTTAACCTGTTGTCGAAAAAGAAAGGCCCGATAACTTGTCTGCCAATAACTCCTCCCCAAACATTCAAGTTCCATTTACTTTTGTAAATCTATTTGCTTAACCCAGTAATAGTTTTCCGTCGCATAATAGTGCATGTTATGCCTGTTGACAACACCTATGCTGTTAAAAGTGGCCTTACCGCTAAAAAGAACCTTATTCAGGAAAGTAGTGTCTTCACTCACTTTATTTAACATTATTCTACTAAACTCCATTCGAGCTGCGAAATGCTGAGAACGAAGGCCTTCATGCAAGCATAGGTGACATGGATGGTACCTATGCTTGTGAATAATCCTTTGGACAGAAGTTCTGCATATATCAGTTTCTGCTCCAATTTGCCGTGCACTTAAATGCGGATTTTCCTGCAACTTTAATAGAACCTCCAACTGATTAGTCTCATTGGTGACACTTGGATTATTTATTATATTCTACTGCTCCACTTGATTCAAAACGTTCTCGTAGTGTGGAAAATTTTTCCGGCCTTAGATGTCGCATATTAGGGTATCGTTGCTTATAAATGCGAGATGCTAGGAAACTACCAGATTTCTTTGGGCTTCGCCCAAAACAAACACCATATTCACCATTTCTTTTTTAGAAAAATTCATTTTCAAACACGGTTCTACTATAATGCTCACGAACCTAATTTTGACAGTTTGTAATTATTCAACAATTTATTTGTTTCCAAGGATGATGCGATATTTTAGGGAATTAAGCCGTTCCATAAAAGACGTGCTAATAACCGAAAAAATAGCCGGAAAAACCCTTATGCGTCTAGTATAAAAAAGCTCATAAAACGTTGAATCAAAACTTGCACAAAGATACAGGGTGATGCATTTGAAATTTTTGAGAAAAACTACAATTTGCGTTTTTGACCACCCTGTATCAGCAAACATTAAAATTCGAAAAAGTAACAAATGAGATAAAAGCTGAGATGTGTAAGTTTTTTTCTGATACAAAATTCAGCACACCAAATTTAAAAATGACGGACTGAGGGGTTGCCGAAGTGGGGGGTTTTTCTAGACAAAACACCTTATATCTCGGTAGCTAGTTACCAAAACCCCATAGTATGTTATATAAATTTTCTTCTTTTGAATTGGTTTATCCAAATATGCAATGAAATTTGAGACATTCCGTTTAAAAAATCACAACTTTGTTATGTAGGTCGAAATTGGGACACCCTGTATAATGACCAATATTTTAGAAATGTGCCCTCAAATGTCACGTATAATATCCCATAAATAGATTTTCCCAAAATGTATTTGTTTATGAGTAATATTCCGTCCACACATGGATGGGCCACCCTGTATAGCTGCTCTAATTGACGATTCTTATACTTACAAACTTTGTTTCAAGAAAAATAAATTATTATTTTTATTATATAGTCACCGATTTTATACTACTTTACTCAAACAGATCATATTTCGAACTCATGACTCATGACACTATTCTCGAGTAGTATCATGCTTAGAACTTTTGTAGAAAATTGGCGAATGCGCCCACAACCGATAAATAACCATATAATATCAGAAATGGTGAATGTTCGTGCTAAAAACATGCAGTACTCGACACAATGGTTCGTTTTGGTATGAAGTTAAACATTCACGATATTATTCCATGTGCCATCCTAAGAATGGATCGCCTCTTGATGTTTTTTGGAAAAAGGAATATTCCAAATATCCATGAAAAAAAATGTTTCACGGGACAAATTTTGTTATCTGTAAAACCATTAATATTGTTTCAAACATATGTAAGTACTACTTCAATAGAAAATTTCTATGATTTGAAATATCAGATAATTGCTGGGCGTAGCTCAATAACAATAAGAAATAGCCCTAGTATTTTTGAAAAAGTTCGTCCAACTAGGTAGTGATGATAAACAATTATTCTGTCAAAAAAATGGCCCACATCCATATTTTCCAACAAACAGTTTACTCAACAAAACTGTTTTCTGTATACAACAGTCTCTTCCTACTCTATCTCTGGTTCATAACATTTCATTTAGTATTTTTGTCAAAACCTAGTTTCTGAGATGTCTTACTTTATTTTATGAGAAAAATAGTCCGTTAGGATTGATGATTTTCATTTCAGGTAAACTGGTGTATGCCGTAAACGGCCCTACGTCGACCCTTTGGCCAGTTCAGGGTCTCACAATAGATCCTATTAGAGAAGCAGTGATTGATCACTGGGCGCCAGAAGAGGTGAGAACCGATTTTTTCCAAACACCATATGGTGAGCGATGTGTCATAATAGAGAGACAGATACATTTCCGGTCGTTATTTTTTTGCTTCCAAAGGAGAACAAATTACTAATTGACTTGGTACAGCCCTCATCACACACTAATAAATATAAATTCATTTAAAAAATGATTTTTGAGCCATTCACGTATTTCTTCAATCATCTTTCACTTACACTATAAACCATGAAACAAAGTTATTGAATTGGAACATTAAAAAAAATTCAACTTTTTACTCGAACGACGTGAGAAGTAAAACGAAACAACGTAATAACACAGAACAGCTACCCAGAAACTACACTCAGGCAAAATTCCCAGTACAATTTTCGGACACCACCGTTTACAGCGTCAAGTTAGAAATTGCTTGTTGGAAATAAGGGCATAATTTAGTAAAAGGATCGACTTGCTACCGGCGCCGGCGGGAGTAAAGTAATTTTTACGATGCATGATTCATAATACACCAACAAAATTATATAATGCATATTGAGATATGCTCACTATTTATTCCTATCATCATTCCGTCTGAACTGTTTCAATGTTAAATATAAACATTTTGACAAAAGCTCTCCGTGCTATGTTTTAATAATCTGATAGCTTATTTGGGCATAGTCGGACCCATTACTATTTCCACGAATATATACGCAATCGATTTAATTGTTTATAGTATACCAAATTCAACCCTACCATGGGGATCCCGGAAACGGTAAGAGATACGAAGTCGCTTGAAAACCGAGTACATATTCCCAAAATCGTCTTAGTTTTTCCTGACTTTATGTGTAGTGGGATTAAAAAATAAATTACACATTAGCATTGCCATTTCTTCTCCTCTACAGGAAGGTATAATGAGAATCATATAGCTTTTTGGATTACGAACGGAGTTCTTAATTCTGATGTCATTGACATTATTAGTTGTTTTTGTTGTTGAAGATTTATTTAGCATTAATGCTACAATGTCAATTTTGTATAATGATTCGGTTACAATCCATTTTCTGTAATTTTACATTCTTGTCTATTAAAATTAAAATTAAAATTACGTCAAAATGCATTTATGATTATTCATAAAGTGATTCTTTAATTTCACCTAAAACATTTTTAAATTCGAATTATTCTCATTATTAAATTCAAATACTCCCTTTTGAAATATACTTTGAAGTTGAGTCATTAATTTTCAGATAATGATTGTAGAAGGAAGATAAACCAAAATACATATGTGTGTAAAAATAAACAAAAAATTAAAAAAAAATTTTACCTTGTTTTATAAAGTATCCTCCTGACAAGTATTTCAGTGCGGATCTGTATTTGATCGTGAGGTCTTGGAGCACCGGCATGCCGTCGCCTGTGAGGTCTTAAGTCACCTGATTCACGAGCCCGTTGTACTACATTAACAAAGGCACGAGGGGTTGGTTGCACTCGATTGGGAAACCGATCCGCATAAACATGTGCCATTTTTGATTTCGTTTGAGCCACGCAACAGACACCACTATTCACTCACGCGTTACCGACTGACACTGACTGTATACAACGGAATAAAATAATTGTAAAAACATCGTTCCAAAATCTTTCGCTTTTTTGTTTCCGATGCGATGAACCGATAAGGCGGATTATATCCGTTGTTGCCAAACACGAGCACATAATATTATGATTGAGTCAGGGCGGTACTCAGACTTCCAAAGGTCTATAACTTTGTTACTTTAATTTTACCAGAAAAATGGTAAAGGAAAAAAACATTTCTTTTGATCAGATCTACTCACTGTTAAAATAAATGACTCAACTTCGAAGTCACCCACCAGTAGATTTACTAGTTATGCTACTATTACAATTTTGCAGCAGGTGAAAATCTATACTGCCTCTAGTTTCGTAGTTATGATAATGACTATTTAATTTTGTGAAGTTCTCTAAATGTGGTCGTAATAAATGATTGTTTAATTTGAATATGAAAACGAGAACTAAATAATATATGAAATTTTTCACATCCAACCACTGGAGTTCCTCTAAGATAGACTTAATCCTAGCATGTTTGTTTTTATTTAAAATGATTCTCATTGCTTTATTTTGTAGAATTTGTAGTTTTGAAAATATGTTTTCATTTGCTGTAAACAAGATGGTTGAACAATACAAAAAATGGGGAAGAATTGTAGTGTTATACACAATTTTTTTGGAATACATACTAAGATTATGGGAAACTCTATAGAAGTAATTAATCTTTTTCGATATTTTTGAAATAATGTATTCATAATGTTCGTGAAACAGTAGCTTACTATCCACATATATACCAAGAGATTTAAATGACTCAACTACTTCAATTTTTTCATCATTAATCATGAACCTAATTGTATTGTTACCTAAATGTTTCCCTATTGACATACATTTTGTTTTATTAGTGTTTAATTTAAGTTTATTGACATTTAACCAATTCATATTTTTTTCAATATCACAATTTAACAGTTCTAAAGCAGTGTCCAAATGCTTATGTGCTATATATATATACAGGGTGAAGTTGAGTCATTTATTTTAACAGTGAGTAGATCTGATCAAAAGAAATGTTTTTTCCTTTAACATTTTTCTGGTAAAATTAAAGTAACAAAGTTATAGCCCTTTAGAACTTTGAGTGTCTCAATAATAATATTATGTGCTCGTGTTTGGCAACAACGGATATAATCCGCCTTATCCGTTCATCGCATCGGAAACAAAAAAGCGAAAGAATTTGAAACGCTGATCACGATGTTTTTATTCAGTCAATGTGTCAGTCGGTAACGCGTGAGTGAATAGTGGTGTTTGCTACGTGGCTCAAACGAAATAAAAAGTGGCACATATTTATGCGGATCGGTTTCCCAATCGAGTGCAACCAACCCCTCGTGCCTTTGTTAATGTAGTACAACGGGCTCGTGAATCAGGTGACTTAAGACCTCACAGGGGAGGGCATGCCGGTGCTCCAAGACCTCACGATCAAATACAGGTCCGCACTGAAATACTTGTTGGGAGGATATTTTATAAAACAAGGTAAAAAAATTTTTTTAATTTTTTTTTATTTTTACACACATATTTTAGTTTATCTTCCTTCTACAATCATTATCTGAAAATTAATGACTCAACTTCAAAGTCACCCTGTATATATATAAGTGTATCGTCCGCAAATATTTGAATTTTGCAGTGTTCTAAAATGTCAGAGATATCATTACCCCTACTGATATATTTTGAACACTTGACATAATATTTCCAACTTTAGTTTTTTGACTTCTATTTACTAAATAATTTTGTAAAATGTGTAATACTGATCCTTTAAAGCCATAGTGACGCAATTTCATTAACAATTTTTCCCTATCTATAGTCTCAAATGCCCTTTTGAAGTCTAAAAATATTGTTACAATATATTCTTTCTCATCTATACTTCTTCTCCAGTCTTCCACCACCATTTGTATTGCCGTTTCTGTGGAACATTTTTTTCTAAATCCAGCTTGATTTTTTATCAAAATTTTGGTTTCTTCAATGAATTCTATGATTTGTTCGTATATTATCCCTTCGAACAGTTTCTCGACATCGGGCAAGACATTAATCGCCCGCATATTTGTATACAGCTGAGAATTTTGAACTTTTGGCACAGGAGTAATGATGAAACACCTTAATTTAAAAAAAAATAGAATTTCCTAGGTAGACCTTGACATTATCAGATAGACACTTGTTTCGTATACTAAATTTATCATAAAATCTTTTTTATTTTTGCCTGACTTTGAGATACGATCTTGAAATGAATTGCATATTGTCATTGCCACTTTTTCTCCTCTACAATGTGGCGAGTTCAATTTTTCAATTCGGGGCTTCTTCTTTCGACTTCCTTCACCAACTTTGTTTTATCGTAAGGACGTATTGGAATTTTGTGCATTTTTGTAACAATAATAATAATATTACTCTATTTAAATATATGAAGTGTATCGTGAAATAAATGTATTATATTTATAACTAAATGCGTAATCAAAAATTGTGTTCGATTACGCAAACTTTCAATGGGGAGTCCATAGGAAAAAACAAAGTTGAGAATGGAGATCGAAAGCAGAAATCTCTAATCGAGAATTTGTCTACGCCCTCTTGTGGAGGAGAAAAAGTGGCAATCCTAATATGCAAATTATTTTAAAATCCCATTTTAAATAAAACCAGGAAATAAACAAAAAAAGTTTTCAATAAATCCGGCATACGAAACAAATGACTATTGATAAATGGTAATTTTAAGGCCTAGGCATATTCTATTTTTTAACATAGTAACTTAATAGTAATGTGTGACTTATTTTGACAAAAGCGCAACGTTGCTCCCATTTAAGCCACTTCGTGTATCTTACCGTTGCCGACATCCCAATGACGAGGGTCGAATTTAAAACACCCGGTATACACACAGACCCGGCTTCAGAGTTTTGTGCACCATGAGGCATTGAATGAGAACAAGGCCACTTAGTTACAGTCACGTTAGAGTTGAGGCCTTAGGAAGCTGGGGCGAATTAGTGGTCGAATGACTTATGTCCATGAAAATGTTCTCGTCTCGGGGGGAGGGGGGGTTACCTCAGTGTTTCTAAGAGCTACCATCTTCCTGACCTAACAGCTGAAGAACGAGAGGACCACTCACTCCCGATTCTCCCAGTGGGACGTCATGACCCCTTTGAATCCGTCCTTGATTGAGAGCTTAGCGCCACTCATGTTTTACCGCCTGTAGCCGCCCTGGCCACACAATTTTGAGAACCTTTTTTTTTTTCGAGAATCGTATAAGAACTGAATAGAAAAAGGTGGAGCGAAATAGGTTGCATCAGAATGTGTACTTACACCGGGTGTTTCACATTAGACCCTCTCCATTGGAATCTTGGAAACAGTAAGAGATACGAAGTCGCTCAAAGGGGGCAAAGTTGTGTATTCAAGGCCCTAACACAAAGCCGCTTAGAAAGTTTCGAAATTTAAAGTATTTTGAAAGATAACAGAAAAACTGGATTTTGCCAAAATGTTTTTTCCTGACTTCATTTGTAGTGGGATTTGAAAATAAGTTGCACATCAACATTGCCACTTTTTTTCTCCTCTATAAGATGGCATAATTTCAATATGACGTTTGGTCTTTGGTTCTCCAACATAAACTTTATTTTTTCTTATGGATGCTATATTCGATTTTTGCGCAGATGGATAGATCTTTTATTTCTGATATACAAAATGTATAAAAGCCTTAGTTATATCGGAAAAACAAAAGTTCATAAATAGGCCTTGAAATTATGAGATTGTTTTCGTATACCAGGCCATTTAAATGTATAAAATTCCATATGAAAGAACAGAGTTGGTGATGTCGAAAGCAGAAATCCCGAAATGAATACGCCATATTGTAGCTTGTAGAGGAGAATAAGTAACAACGATAACATGCAATTTACTTTGAAATAACTAAGGTTTGGTAATGTCAATGTATGACGTATCATATATTTTTGGAATCAGAATTAAAAACTCTATTCATCTATGCAAAAATCCAATATGGAATCCATAATAAAAAATAATGATGCTGGAGGACAAGAGACGAAACGTCATAAAGGGGAAAAAGTAGCAATGTGAGGTCGAATTTGAAACAACTGATATGTACATTCACACTTCCCACAAGGGAATCGAAATTTTACTGGCTTGGAATATCCAGGAAGTGAAAAAAAATCAAATAACAAATTCCGCATTTCTTAGGTGTTGACCTTTGTTCTACGTCAAAAAATATTCAGTAACTTCGAAGACATTCAAGAAATTAAGCTATTTCAAAGATCCTTGTTTTCAAAAACCCCTTTTTTACTCATCATGCAGAACCTTTTTGATGCATAATGTAATTAAGCACTTTAATGCTGAACAGTACATCGGTCAGCGCAACTAACAGTGCTGAAAATGCAGTCCGACCCTATTCCGTTGTGTCGGTCGCTGCTTCTGGTTAAAGCGAGAACTTCAATAGCCCGAGTTATACAGGGTGTAAACGTTATGATTCTATGGACTATGGTATGGGATAGTCCTACGCGGCGGCCTAATTCCAGAGTGCTGATATCTGCTTTGATTTCCACGATATTTAAAATTTAACGAGTGCGAATATTAGTGGGCTGAACACTTCCTGCATTTCGAAGTCTTTGGTACACTTGCACGAATGTCCTTCTGTCTGGGTGTACCCGTTGGCGAAATCTGTCGCGATAAATTTGAGCTGCAAGATTTGAATTCTGACGAGCTTCACCGTAAACCAACAACATGTCGGCACACTCTTGATTCGAGAATATTGTAAATCAAAACGACGACGTTCGTGAACAAACACGAAACAACATACTAACTGTTACCACTGTTACCGTTTGCGATCGATTGCTGGTTCGATAAGGATGATGATGACCGACGCGCTGTTGTCATGTGTGTTTTAAATATACAATTTAATGAAACTTACTTACTTACTGACTACAAAGTTTGGCTTAACTTAGAAAAACGTTTTAGATTATATTATAAAAATTAGTAAGATTGTGGTGATTGTGGTCGATATAAAGCACTAAAAGTTGTAAACTATAAAGCCATTTAGACAAAAATCTATTGACTTTTGGACCATGGGTCATATGAACTTTTTGACTTGTTTTGACCCCCCCCCTATTACCCATTTCAATAATGACTACCATAACGTTTACACTCTGTATTGTTGCTCCGTGTGCTGTCGTCCACTCGTCTAACAAATATTAGCCAGAGTGATTTTACTGGCCCTATACTGTGATGTTACTATCATCATACGCGTGAGTTCGACTAGGAGCAGGAATACCCATCAACGCCATTTATCGTATCAGAAATCACATAACTCGTTTGAGAAAATGAGGCACTGGTAATTACTTTCACGGTATACGCTAGAATAGGAATTTTATCAGCTAGGGAATCAAACATATACATACAAATTCAACCGTCAAAAATAAATTAATGGATATACAGGCGTGATGTAAACGCTAAGGCAGACATCTTTATTGGTCCCCATATAGTAAGATAACGTTTGTTTTTTGCCGTTGCTACTAACGAGGTAATAAATAACATATGCTGGATTATCCAGGCAGAATAAAAAAATAAAAAGCTGAAATGGATAAGGAGCGGTTTTGATTTATATTACAAAAAGCCGCACGAAGGGACAAGTCGGATAAGAGACAGATGTGCTTTTATATTCAAGCTTTTTGAATATTCATATGCATACGCCGCTCGTAAGGCTAATGGGCGTTGCCTCATGTAGATTAGCGGGAAACGTTACTTGAGAAGAATTCGCTTCAAAACACATCCTTTTCATCTGAACTATTTAGACCAGGAAGTATTTTTGCATCTACTCGGAAAATTACAAAAAGGTTTTGTTTCGTTTTTTGTCTTTAACCCAGAAAAACAATATGAAAAAATATTAAATCCCCCTTATCTCGAATTCCATCAATCTTAGAAAAAAGTTGTTGGGAACATTTTTTGTTTAGATTGACCCAATAACAGTTAAAAAACCCTTTCAGGAGCAAAAAAAACCTTTTTTCAAATACGTTAATAAACCTTCTAACAATATTCGACGAGATTTTATTAAATGAGATTATGCATAAAAGTCAAATCATTTTTCCGAGCAGATCCGAAGATACTTCATGGACTAATTTTGGGACATGGAATTTCAACTGTTTTTTGAAGTTTAGGAAAACGAAAAATTAACGCCCCACTTGTATTGCCCTGGGTATGTCGTTAGGCGGTTGTTTAGATCATCTGGTTTGCGAGATATTGCATTAATAGGCTACACACTATGAGTATTTTCCAGCTCTAATTGCCATTTTAAACATATTTTAACATAAAAGTATAATTACCTATTTTCATACGATTATCTTAAATACTGAAACTCATAAACAAGCACCTAACGTCACACCCAGGGCATTCATGTACATAAAAATACGTACCTCCTTAATTAAACCGCATAACATTTCAAAACTTCTGATGTATTTTAAACAAGCTTTAGGCTATATTTAGGAGTAAATAAAATCCAAAACAAAAAACTGTGAATTTGCCCAAATTTTGGCTTGAAATGATATTTCCGGTTTAGCACCTCAAGCTCTTTTCGAATTTGAAATCTATTTTTTTTTTCATCAAAAAGACGCTATGTTTCATATTCCACTATGTAACATTTAAATTTGAAAAGATTCTTCGAAAAAAATCTCAATTTCAAATATGGCTTCTCTTTCGAATCCCAGAACTTAGCAATTGAATGCGCCACAAAAAAAATGTTTTCTCTTTCATAAATACTAGATGTTCAAACAGGCCCAATATTCAGTGTGTTCATTTACCATGGATTTATCAAAAACCACTGATTAAAGGAAAAAACGCCGAGACACGTCAAAAGATTTGTCAAGCGGGACAACTTTTTAACCAAAAATACTTCACCCCTTTTCACCCTCGGCCCCCAGGGCCATTCCCATAAAATTTTAAATGACAAGTGGTATCGATTAATAGCTTTTTTGAAAAGTCTTTCGGAGTCCTTCATTTTGACGTTTGATTTTTTAAGATTAGTCGATTCGTTTTTGAGAAAATTAGAAACATCTTTATTAATTTGTTCATCTTTATTAATTTGTTCAGATAGAAAACAAAAACACACTTTTTATTTCAATAAGTGTTCAAAATGTTGCCCGTTAGGGTTTGCCAAATCTACAATTCGTTTATAATTTCAAACGGAAACTACCAACATAAACAGCAATTCGGAAGATTAGACGTGGCAACAACCAAATAACAACCCGAATTTTTTCCGCATTCTTTTCATCAACACAGATATCCTGGGCGATCAGTATTTATTGTTATACCTGTTTAGCTACTTGTTGCTAAGGGAAAGAAATAATTAAATTTGCTGTCAGTTACCTTTGTCACATTCATGGGATAGTGAAAATTAATTTATTGATTCAGATTTTACTTCCAAAATGGTTTACACACTAGTCGAAATAGTGGAAATGATTGTACTTTACTTACTAAAAACGTGATCATCGGAGAATTTTCCATGAAATCGCTCAAGTTGAAGTTTTGGGTCATTTTGGAATAAATCCTAATATTCCATTACGCAAAACTGTTGCTGCGATTGGTATTTCATTAGGCTCTGTACACACAGTTACTAAACTCCATAAATTTCATCGATTCAAAATGAAAATATAGCAAGAGTTAACCGAAGATGATTTCGATAGTCGAATTGAGTTTTGTGAACAAATGACTGCAGCGATCAATGATAATACCATTCATGTAAAGAATATCTGCTTCAGTGATGCATGCACATTTTATCTAAATGAATTTGTTAATAAGCATAACTGCAGGTATTGGAGCAATGAAAATCCTCATGCTTTTGTAGAAGGGCATACCCAGTACCCCCAAAAAATTAACGTATGGGCAGGCATTTTAGGAAACAAAGGGATTGGGGCATTGTCTATTAATGGAAATTTGAATGAGCACATTTATATATAACCCTATACTTGAGGCTGAAATATATTTCCAGCAAGACGGCGCTCCTCCTCACTCCGTTCTTCTAGTTCGGCAATGGCTAGATGACAACGTTCCAGATAAATGGATAGGGCGAAGAGGGCCTATAGAATGGGCTGCTAGATCTCCAGATTTGACGCCATTAGACTTTTTTCTATGGGGCTATTTGAAACCTATTGTGTTTACTCCCCAATCTGAAAGTTTGCATGAAGTTCGTCAACGTGTTTTTGGAAATGTCCGTCAGGAATTTGAACTTAGCCTATATCATTGTTTGGCCAATAACGGGAAACATTTTAAACACTAATTGAAATAAAAAGTGATATTTTCGTGTGTTTTTGTTTTATATCGGCACCCGGGCGATAAATCCGTGGTGGGAAGTTCTAAATGCAAAATCAGTTCAGTTGAATGAATTGTTATTCTTACCAAGATTCCTAATATCGTTTCCATTTTTTCAGGGTTTTGGTAATCCGCATGCCATTGCAGTCTGTCCCAATGGATCTGCTTTGTACGTGGCCGAAATTGGACCCAACAGGGTATGGAAGTTTGAGTTAGTACCACCAAAAAAATAAACAAAAGAAAACAATGTAACTCATTATTAGAAACGTGTTAACTTAGTTTATATAATACATAATACACAGGCATAATACACAGGTAAGAGTAACAAGTGTAAGGTATAGTTTGTAGGAATTTATGTACTGTAACTTGAATGTCATTGTCCAACAGTTTGAGCGATTCGGTTTGAGATTTTTGTAATACTGAGGGTTTGAGGAGAGTTGAAATGCTGGAAAGGTTGCTTTAAGTACTGGACGGTGACACTCAATATTGTTAGACGTAAGGTATCATAATTAAAAAATGTGTCATTAGTATTATGTTAGATAAACATGACAACTTGACATGTGGTGTTTAATCTTTTCTATTATTTAACAAGGTAATATTCGATAGGTAGTGTTACTATAAGAAAATAAAGTCTGTCAGATTCTTATATGAGGTTTGCTTAAGCTTCATAGGTGTTTAATGTCTTATGTAGGTTTAAGGTAATACGTAAGATTAACAAATACAGATTATGCTACAAATTAAAAAAAATACTATTTGTCCACTTACGCTTATGGTATCTATTTAGCGGCATGTTATGTAAGCATGAGTAAATGTATTCAAGCATATTTATAGATCTAGATTGGCATTTATGTATATCGTAGACAATAAAAACACAAAAACACCAGTAGCTCTTTTTCTCTCTCTTATAGTAGCGGACAAAAGTTTGGAAACAATTATTAACATTATTATGAACTATTTCATATATCTAAATTAAAATTGTGAAGGAGCAGATAATATAAATATTAAAGTCTACCTTTGACTACCGTACTAATACAAGGTTTATCTTATCAATACTCAAATTCGCTGAAAATAAAAACACCCGTTTTTCCAAAAATCACAGATTTTGTAACTACAAAAGTATGGAAACATTTCAGTTTTACCGTATTTATTCGTTCTGCGATACTCTGATTTGCGTGCGGTAAATATTAATGTCAGTGAGAAAAAAGTAAAATAATTTTCAAGGGATTTTCAAAGGATTTAAGAAAGAAAGTATTTGAACTATTAGAAGTGGTGTCAGAAATGTTGACATTTCACAAAGATTAAAAATGAACAAAGGGACGATTTCGAAAATTATTAGTAAATATCAAGAATACGGATCAACAGTGTCAGAATGGTGCAGAGACGCTTGGTGGATTTTGGGCTTTTTGGTAGACGTCCAGTGCAAAAGTCTCTCATATAAAAAAATCGTATTGCTCGGCTTGACTTTACTAAAACTCATCTAACTTGGACAGAACAACAATGGACGCGATGAAAGCAAATTTGACTTTTTGGATCTGACGATACGGCATATGTGAGACGTCCAATATGAAAAAATTCGACAAAAACTATCAGCTGCCAACAGTTAAGCACGGTGGATGCAACATCATGGTTTGGGGCTGTTTTTCTAGTTCTGGAACGGGTCCAATTGTTAAAAATGTTGGAAAAATGGATAAAAAACTTCACAAAGTTATTCTTAGTGAACGCATTCTTCATTTTGCTGAAGAAGGAATGCCTTTACGATGGACATTCCAGCAAGACCCCAAGAATACCTCAAAATTCGTAAAGGACTGGTTAAGACTAAAAAATGTTAATGTTCTTACATGGAACCCCGGGCCTAAACCCTATAGAGCATGTTAAAAAACAACTGACAAGAAAAACTTAAAAAAACAGGAACGATTTATTTGATTATGCAAAAAATTTCTCAAAATATCTCAACAGACGTCTTCTATGAGCAGCAGATGCCAGACAGTGTTGAATGCTAAAGTCTTCGCTACCAAATATTAGCTAAACAGTATTTATTATATCTTTTTGTAGATTTATTGTATTTAATTTTGAAATAACTACTTAATAATACTTTTGTTGGCTCATTTTCGGTCATAAAATAATATGAATGTATTTTAATGCTAGTCTGTAGTACCACAGCAAACACAAATTATCATTTGTGTCCTCAAGACAGTAAGCAAGCTATATAAGAAAAAAATAGTCCTTAATAATAAATAATAGAAATAATGTTTCCAAACTTTTGTCAGCTACATGGTACAATGTCGAAAAACAGAGCTCTTCACATTACAAAAGTGCGATCGTACTGACCTGTTGCTGTTGTTTACAGGGTATAAAGTTATGAATCGGCCAACGAAATATAGATGAAGGAGGACCTTAATAGTTAATACAGATCGAATTGGCCCCTGTATGTGCATGCACTTTTTGCTGGAAGTAATCTTATCTTTTCAATCACCATGTTTTGAGGAAGAACTTCATGACAATCAGAATAAAAATAATTATTTCAACTCTTACTGGATAATTCTGTTATCATCCCAACTTTCTTAAGGGTTGCCAAAAAAAAATTCCTTGCAGCGTTCTCTTGGCATCCATTGAAAAAACTACTAGATTCCGTGAGGGAATAGCCTTGCAAATTTTATCACAATCACAAATTCGACCAATGAGAAGGCAATTTTTAAGTAATGGATCTAATATATGTAGTTAATTTCTTGTAAAATATTTCTTCAAGCAGATAAAAAATGTACGATTTGTGAAAAATGAGCCCCTAATTCTCATAATAAATCAAGAAGTACATGTTTAGTTACATGAATCTATGTAATTATTAAAAAATTTGCGACCCAGACGCAAATCCCACCAATCAAAAAAAAAACGGATTTGCGGTATAGATTTTTGATCAGTGGATGTTGTGCCATAGTTACAAACTTTGTGTCGGGGTTTATATGAAAAGATAGTTTTTTGTAGCTAAACTGGGTGATTTATGAAGTACTTCTTGATTTAAAATGGGAAAGCGGGCCCAAGTGGTCTAAATTCACAGTTTAAGGTGTCATTTGCTTTTGAACTGCATCAAGCACGGGTAGTCTACTGATCAAAAAGTGTAGAATTGCGTTGTCAAGTTTTCTTACTTGGGAAACGATTTTCAGTTACAGAATCCTTTTTTTTGGGTGCCCATCTGTTCCGTACTTCGGCGACCATTCTGGCTATTATTAGATACTTTACTGACGGGAGATCAGTCATCGTTGTTGAGTGCCATGGTCCAGAATTGTTTAGCCTTGAAATTGTTCTCCTGCCATTACGATTTACTGGTATTTTTCCTCTTGATATGCCCCGTTAAAAGTATATTGACAAAACACTACCTTTGCTCCAAGCTCTTCATCATGACGTTCTCACTGCCTAGACCTGCAGAATGCATCTTCTGCATAAGATTGCGGCCGCTGGAACCAGTAGCAGTGTATCGCGAATGAATCTTCTAAACCGGAAAACATCCATAAGCCATTACAGCACCTGCTCGCCTCACGTTCACCGTTGTTGGCCTCCTCTTCTTCTTTTTCTGGTTTCTTCTATCCAATTAAGCAATAAATCTTTGGTAATGCCGACGTCGATCGGTAAAATCTGTGGGCAGACGGTAATTACTGGGCCGCTGTATGGAATAATGATCGAGCCCAAGGGACCGGAGCGGTCCGGTCGTTGCTTCTTCTATCTTCCTTTTGGACCTTGAGAGGTATTTGAGTAACAAAACTGTTTGGACACCACACGAAAAAGCAAACTCCTGAGTTTTCAGATAAGCGAAATCGCATTGCTTAACGTGCGTATTCTAAATCCTTTTCATCTGATGTGTATAGAGATGATTAAAAAACAATGTTTGTACCTGAATATTCTACTTTTTTGAAACGGGTGATTACTTTCATTCTTATCATTTTGTCTCTTCGAAAAATCTTTACTGTTCCTGAAAACTTGAAAGATTTTTTGACGAGAAAAAGTCAAGAGATAAGAGTAAGCTCTCTCTATCATTCTTCCATGAAAGTAGAATGGTCACATACAATTTTAGAGCTGTAATAATATTTGATAACAAGTTACGACTGAACAAAAAATGCACAATTTCAGGCTCAAAAAATCCATTTTTTGACAAAAAATTGAAAACATTGTTTTTTAGCCATCTCTATACATACCATAAAATAATCAGATGAAAAGGATTTAGAATACTTATGGAAGCAGGTAGTTGCAAAAAAAGGGAAAGAAAGGACGTGCGACCTTAAGGGACAACACGTCTGTAACGCCCTAAAAAATGGTATAAAGTAGATTGACTATATACTTTCCATGCCTTCAAAATAACTATAGTACAATTTTTCATGTAGGCATCAAAAAACTATGTTTTCCAGAACCAGTGGTGTACTATTTGGGGTCTGCATGAAATAACAAATGCCTCTGATTGCAGCAATGAGCGTGTCCTTATACGATAGCCTCATTTCTTTTGAGCTGGTGTAAAACAATGTTTGATAACTGATTATAATAGCTCTTGACACACACTCATACACTATATATCTCTTAAGTTGTAACACCGCGCAACTAAAGGAGAAAAAAAGAACGGTTAGTCTTTGGATTCCCTATTGAATGACATTGAATATCTCATAATCGTCATTGTTTGTCTGTCTGCTAAATTAAATCACATATGCTAGAGATACTGTTTACTGATGACGTTTCGGCCCCCGCTGTGTCCTTCTTCATGTCCATGCATATCTAAAATTTTTAAGTTATTCTTATATTAAGGGCAGCTAAAAATATATGCTAGTTAAACATACAGTTAATCCATAGAAATGTTCCCTGCTCTACCGACAGTGCACCGACGATGTCGCAAGCCCCCATCTCGTCTACCCCAATTTTTTTTAAAATGATGAAACGACAAAAAAGGTTTGAACGTTTTTCTACATTTCTCGTTTTTTGGAATTTTTTACGCCGCTACTGGATCGATTTCCAAAAACTACAAAGGGTTATCGATCGGTAATTTCCAAGTTATAGACGGGCCAAGGAGTAGCGGACAAACAAACAGACCGACGGAAATGAATGTCATTGTTTTTCCTGATGTACATATCACATAACTTTAAAAAAAATAATATCTCATTTTCGAAGTGTTCCGCGATTACAATACTTCCTCGCCAGTAGGCGTGGGAAGTAAAAGAATATAGCTAGCACATTTTGACCTATACGAGTTCAAATACGACTTCGAAGTTGAGTCATTTATGAGTAGATCTGAGCAAAATAAATGTTTTTTTCTTTTAACATTTTTCTGGTAAAATTAAAGTAACAAAGTGATAGCCCTTTAGAAGTTTGAGTACCGCCCTGTCTCAATAATAATATTATGTGCTCGTGTTTGGCAACAACGGATATAATCCGCCTTATCGGTTCATCGCATCGGAAACAAAAAAACGAAAGAATTTGAAACGCTTATCACGATGTTTTTACTACAATTTTATTCAGTCAATGTGTCAGTCGGTAACGCGTGAGTGAATAGTGGTGTTTGTTGCGTGGCTCAAACGAAATAAAAAATGGCACATGTTTACAAAAATGCTAAACTTGTGGACATGATTGGAAATGCTGCCGCGGCATCATGGATTTATGCGGATCGGTTTCCCAATCGAGTGCAACCAACCCCTCGTGCCTTTGTTAATGTAGTACAAAGGGCTCGTGAATCAGGTGACTTAAGACCTCACAAGGAAGGAGATGCCGGTGCTCCAAGACCGCACGATCAAATACAGGTCCGTACTGAAATACTTGTCGGGAGGATACTTTATAAAACAAGGTAACATTTTTTTTTAATTTTTTTTTATTTTTACACACATTTTGGTTTATCTTCCTCCTACAATCATTATCTGAAAATTAATGACTCAACTTCAAAGTATATGCCAGAATTTGTATAGTGAATATGCCTCAACCAGAAACT